AGTGGCGATGTTTCTCACAGAAGATGAGGATGTCACTGGCAATGAAGGCGGAACAATGGGAAGAATAGAAACCGGAGAATCGGTTCTCAAACGAGACCGTGGAGGAGATGGGGGTGGCGAGGAGGAACGCAGCCGTCTGCGGCCAAGCACAGAAAGGGATGAAAGGGGGGTGGATTGGGCAGGATGTCGGAACATAGGACACGAGTGTCGGGCTGGGGTAGAGGAAGCTATACCAGTAAAACCTATAGCATGAGAAATTCGAGCTACAGAAGCAGAGGAAGTGGTAAAAAGTGGAACCGCAGCAGAGACAACTGTTGTAGCAGGAACCGCAGCGGTAAAAAGTGGAACCGCAGCAGAGACAACTGTTGTAGCAGGAACCGCAGCAGAGGCAACTTCCGTAGCAGGGACCGCAGCGGAGGCAACTTCCGTATCAGAAACTGTCGGAGTGAAACCCGGAGTTGAAACAGCAGCAGTAGAAACTGCAGCAGTGGAGACCACAACGGTGGAAGCGGCGGTGGTGGGAACCGCAACAGTGGGAACTGCATTAGCAGCAGATGAACAAGCAGTGACAGGACGAGAGCGATGCGGGGATAAAGAAAAAAGTGGGTGATGCAAGGACCATCGCAGCATGCGTCGGAACCACTGAGAGACATGGGTGACGTGTGTAGGATAGCGACGTTGGCGGGAGCGTGTGTAGCAGGTCCATCCTTTAGCGAGGGTTGGTGGGGAATGGCCACGAGAAAGCATGCGACGAGTGAGTGTTGTCGCTGCAGTTCGGAAGTCCTGCCAATTATTGCAGATGCGTTCAAATCTGGTCAATTGCCCAGTGAACACACCTGCCGGTTGATGGGAAGGGATGTTGGAGGTAGCACTGGATAGCGAATAACAGGGAAATCCCAATCAGCCGCTTTATCAAACACGCTCATGCGAAGCGAACCATCAGAGCGTACCCGTAGATGCATACCTAAAAAGGTACACGAGCCATCTGTAGCCGTAGTTTCCTTCCACTCGAGCCCATGGTGCTCTGAAGGAGGAGGTAATTGCCCCCATGAAAGAACATCATCAATGAGGCGATAAGTGAAGGCGTATTGCTGAGCAGCTTGGGGATCATGTTGACGAATGTCGTCAATAAAGCGTGCTTCATCCCAATAGAGCATTAGATTGGAGATTTATGGGCCAACATTTGTTCCCATTGGAATACCAATGATTTGCTTTCGAAGAGTACCATCTCTAGTGTACAGAAAAGTGTTTTCTACAACAAAGCGAAGATGTTGGAGAATCTGAGAAACGGAAAGGTTGTCTGGTCCTAAATCGTTTGTCCATTGGCCAGAGCAAGGCCCGCGAATAAACATGTTCAAGGCTCTGCAGCACGAATGCATGCGGGTATGCTGAAGGGCATAAGCATGAGCTTCATCAACAGCCTTTGCCACATTATTCAGAATGCGGTCATGAGGAAGGTTGGTGTACATTGTGGTGAAATCAACCGTGCGAGGAGAGAGGCCACGTAGAGAGGACACATTGTTTTTCAGGTCAATCGCCACCTCATCGGCACTCTGGACGATCCAGCACCGCCGAACACCTTCCTGTTGATAGAGCTCAGTGTCTTTTTCACGAAGAGTAGAGATCACGCCTTGTAAAGCAGTGCTGAGACAGGACGAAGTAGCCGTTGTGCTAGCCACGGGTTTGTGAGGAGGTCGTTCATGAATGTATATTGTCACATAACTATGAACTAAAAGACCGCACTTTGCGAAACAAAAGGTAAGGATTGAAAAAAAAAAAAAAAAAAAACATGAGGGGCACTGAAACCATTTATTTTTATCATTCTTCTCTTAACTCCCCCTTCTGTATGCCTCTCACGTACAAGGCTCGCCACGTTGATGAAGTTGAGCACGAGCTGCTCACATCTCCGTGTGCCATAACGACCCACTTGTACGCTGTGAGAAAGAGGCAGAGTAAAGGGGAAGGTGATAAGCACTGGGAAGAGAGATGAGGAGAAGACAAACAAAGAACCAAAGGGGAAAGTAAGGGAAAGTACGGAGTGTGGAATGAAGATGAAGGCAAAGGAGAGGATAAGAAAAGCTCAAAGTGAGTCTGTCCTTGACGACAGAGAGGACACACATTGTAAGGATGAGGTGGGTGAGCACATGGAAGACCTAGCTGAGCATTATCAGCACAACAATTGCCATAACGGCTGGCATTGAGCATGCCCACCATACACTCCCGACAAATGGCTTGTTGATTGCAGGCCAAAAAGAAGGAAGAACTCTCACCACAGAAGTCCATGCATTCCGTATAGCGCCCATGGCCACAAAATGGACATATAGTATCCGGATGCGGAGGGTGCATGTAGCCAGGAACGGAGGGACAGTCCTCTGCACACATGGATGTACTGATTGTAGTGATTGTGACAAAGACGATGGCGGATACAGCCGAGTGCAACAGTGCTTGTAGCTATGCAAAGGAGAAGGTCGCATAGTGTTGGTACATTGTCCTGTTGGAGCACGGGGCCAGAGGAATGATGATCTTCGACATAAAAGAGATTGCGAACAGTTTGGTGAGGCAAAAGAACAGCATCATTATGTAAGAAATCAGCAACATCAGTCATGGCATGGACCATGATGCCGTTGTCCCACAGCTCCCAGTGGTCAGAGGCATATACGATGGCCAGGTCCGTGGACAATGCAGGCAGAGATGTGGGATGGAGGATTAAACCACTCACCTGCTCGAGCATTGCGTAGTTCAAGTTGGCGGTCCTCATTGCTACTTGTAGGACAGCAACGGTAAAGCCTCTTTCCCTGGTATAATTACAATCCTCTGGCGGTACGTGGGGGAGATCAGCATCAAGCTGAAGGGCGATAGCAAGGAAGTCCGATGGTGTATAAAACGGGCGGTGGAGAATGTGAAGACAGATATTAGTTGCAGTCAGACCACAGAGATTGGTGAGGGTCCCAGGCTGGTGTGCCGGGTGTTGGCCAACGATTTGCAGATCACCCAGCTGGTGTTGCAAGCCCAAAATGTCTTGGGTTGTTTGCTGGTCAGTCATTTGCAGATCACCTATGTGATCTGCGTGTGGAGGGGTACAAATTTGTGGTTTGTCCAAATGATGCTGGTCAGCCATTTGCAGATCCCCCATGTGGTCTACGCCTTGTGGGGTTAACTGCAATCCGGGCAGATCATGTTCCAATCCCTCAACGTTTGGGGCCGCATCCTAAGCAAGGACTGTACGGGGAATCGGGAGTGTACTCTGGGCAGGGACCACATCCTGTTGTACAGGTGGAACATCTAACGCTGAAGGGCATAAGACATGGTGCCGTGGCTGCCTGCAGGCAGCTGGACTGTCTACCAAAGGCATAGGACTGGATATTCCCGTTTGGAACAAATGAACCGCAACAACCTGTGGAGCAGGCACAGAGAGAATTGGGCCAGACAAAAACAGGCTGCTGATCCCCAGACAAGTGACGATGCCGCGGATGTCGTCGATGATACACAATAAGGGGAGTAGTGATGTTGCAAACAGAATATGAACATGTCCCTGGCAACAAAGGTGGAACAATGGGAACAATGGAAACCAAAGAGTCTGTTCGCAAGCGAGATCGTGGAGGAGATGGGGGTGGCGAGGAAGAACGCAGCCGTCTGCGGCCAAGCACAGAAAGAGATGAAAGGGGGGGGATTGGGCAGGATTTTGAAACAAAGGACGTGAGTTTTGGAGAGACTGTGATGTTCTTTGTGCTGGAGCTGCGGTAGAGGAAGCTGTGGCAGCAGAAAGTATAGTACGGGGGACTGCAGCAAAGGAAGCTGTAGCAGCAAAAAGTATAGTACGGGGGACTGCAGCAGAGGAAGCTGTAGTGAGAACTGCAGTAGCAGAAACTGCCAGAGTGAAAGCCGGAGCTGTAGAAAGTGTCGCGGTGGAAACTGCAGAAGTGGAAACCGCAGCAGTGGAAACTGCAGCATCAGAAATTACTGCAGCAATGGGAACTGATGTAGTAGAAACTGCTGGAGTGAAAACCGGAGCTGTAGAAACTGCAGCAGCGGAAACTGGAGCAGTCGAAGCTGCAGGAGACGATATATATATATATATATATATATATATATATATATATATATATATATATATATCGTCTCAAACAGAACTGCCTGGTAAACCGTAGGCAGAGAGAGAGAAGAGGACAAATATATATATATATATATATCGTCACAAACAGAACTGCCCGGTAAACCGTAGGCAGAGAGAGAGAGAAGAGGACAACAAACGAGGGGCTGTGATATATATATATATTTGATGATATACGATATATACTGTTTGATGATATACATCTGTTTGTGACGATATATATATACTAGGAAGATTTTCACGCGGCCGGGCACCCGGGCGTGGCGCCCGGGTCAGCTGGGTGTGAGAAAAAACACAGTATATATATATATCGTCAAATAGAACTGCCCGGTAAACCGTAGGCAGAGAGGGAGAAGAGGACAACAAACGAGGGGCTGTGACAAACTGTTTCGTCGGAGTTTCACCGACTCATCAGGAGGCTGATATATACTATATCTATATATCGTATATATATCATATAACTCCGACGAAACAGTTTGTCACAGCCCCTCGTTTGTTGTCCTCTTCTCTCTCTCTGCCTACGGTTTACTGGGCAGTTCTGTTTGTNCTCTTCTCTCTCTCTGCCTACGGTTTACTGGGCAGTTCTGTTTGTGACGATATATATATATATATATATATATATATATATATATATATATATATATATTACACGAACTGCACACACGGACACAGCACACACGGCATGCCGTGTGCTGTGTGTGCTGTGTATGCCATGTGTGCTGTGTGCTGTTTGCAGCGTGTGCAGTGTGGCACACAGTACCTACAGCATACTTGGCAGACACCGCAGACAACACACACAGCTCACAGTTTAGACAGCACCCACATCACACGACACACCCTTGACACATGCACCACTGAGTATGTAGAGTTATGCAGACTCTTTTAAAAGGAGGGAGGATGGCGAGGAAGTGCAACCTTGGAGAAGAGGTGGACGAGAAGAAGAAGAAGAGGAGGAGGAGGAGGAGGAGGAGGAGGAGGAGGAGGAGGAGGAGGAGAAAGATCAGGATGGATGGAGGTGATCAAAGGAGGAGGAGAGACAATCAAACATAGATGATAAGAAGAAGAAGTAGAGGGGGAGGAGGAGGTGGAGAATGGTGAGGAGGTGGAGCCTCGGAGGAGAGGAAGATGAGAAGGAGAAGAAGAAGAAGAAGAAGAAGAAGAAGAAGAAGAAGAAGAAGAAGAAGAAGAAGAAACGAGGCGGATGAGGAGGAGGAGCAGGAGGAGAAAGATCAGGGTGGAGAGACGACTGAGGTGGAGCCTGGAGGGAGGCTATGGAGGAAGGGGAGTGATGGCTGCCATGGCCTTCGATGTATGCCGCGACGGCCTTCCTCTTGTTTCTTTCCACGGGAAACTTTCCCCTCGCTCGTCCGACTAGTCGCGGATATGGAGGTTGGGGAGCACGAAGATGAAGACGAAGAAGAAGAAGTAGGAGGATGACGAGGGGGAGGATGAGGAGAAGAGAAGGAGGAGGTCACAACACACCCACGTGCACACCCACCCACCCACCCACACACACACACACACACACACACACACACACTCACTCTCTTACCTGGCAATGGCGACGTCGAGCGAGCGAAGGGCGACGGACAGCGCTGGACGAGAGGAGGAGGGCGGTTTCTTGAAGCGAAGAATCGCCACACTATTCGCGCCTGCATTCGAAGTGCAATGCCCGCGCGAAATCGCACGGTGTTCCTTGTCAAATGGGAAGAAAAAAGGGCAATTTCAAGCCCTCGATCTTGCAGATCGAGGGCCTGAAATCGCCCCTTAATTTTCATAGCAGGGTCGGTAGGCCCTCCGCACGTTTTTTTTTTTTCGATCTGCAAGTCCCCCCGAACCCCCGCCGTGCCCAGGCCCGCCGTCCACTGTTTTTCATTTTTTTTAGGAGGGTGCCGCAGAGAGCGCCCGGGGCCCCGCCCGGGTCTCATGCCCGGCCGGACCCCGGGTGCATTCCGGGCATGGTTTGAGGGCCTGGGCGCCCAGGAAATCAGCCTAGTATATATATAAAAAATGGGAGGTTGCAGCATGTGTATGTGCTGTTGAAAGATAAGGATGTTGCCGAAAAGAGGCCTATCATTCCTTTGTTCGTGGACCTGGCAACATCAGCTGTGGTGTATTTACTTTTTTTTTTTAACCAAAGTCAAATCATTTCATAATAGATTGAAATTTGAGGCTGGTGCAATCAGACTTGTCCTTCTCGACATTCAGCATGCGTACAAACGGATGACGATCAAGCTGGTGACTTGCGCCCACACAAAGCTCAGAGATAACGAAACCAAGAACACAATTCAGATCCAAACTTGTCACGGATGGCTATGGCGCACGTGCGCCCAGCTCAGATCCACCCCGATCAACTGTATCCTCAGCAATTTGTTCACACACACGAGCTCTGGATCTCCCTGGATATCCCGCACACAAACACTCGGCACTCACACACACACACACACTAACACACTACTACTAACCTATGGGCAGCTATGGCTGACAGCAAGCGGCTATGGCCGCGTCTTCCTCCGCTTAGCCCACTTCTCCTACGGGCACCTGCAGACCTTCGTACACAAGACGCTCCGACAGTGCTTCCGCACGGCTCACAGGCAGAATGAATGAATCGCTGATCGCTGCCTCTTTATTTATACTTTGGAACGTCGTAGGTCTGCCCCTTGACACCGGGCCCGGGGTGTACACAGTCCCACATGGTACTTGCTGACTGGACAAGGTGCGACTTGGGACTGGTATCGCTGACTGGACTAGGTAGGACTGCCCACTTGACCACTTGCCTACGGACTACACTCTAGGACCTACGAAAGGTCACTTCCGGAAGCTCCGGAAAGCAGTAGACTTGACCCTTCAACACTGTAGCAGCTATGACTCCTACCACTGCTAAGACCTCTAATCTACAAGCCTACGGTTCGAGACCCGACGACCACACTATCTACAACAAGCAAACAGGCGACTTTCAAGACATAGGTCGCAGGTTCAAGCACACACGGGGCAACTGGTATTATGCATGGGTAAGGGTGAGGTCTAGGGATCGAGCCCTGGGATCTGCATCTGCTACCGTAAAGGTGGAAACCGTTTCACTGTGGACCTCACAACTCAACCCGGAGTTATCCTGGCAAGTTTTGCTTATAATGTGACCAAGAAAACAATTTCCCAAAGAATCAAGACTTGATGACTTGAGGGCCGCCATCGCACCTGCATGCATGCCAGCTCGCGCCACGAGCTCGAGCACCTCCACCGATCCTTGTACCCGACATCATAGCCGACCGGGAATGGTGGTTGGACAGCCCACGCCGTGAGCGTGATCGTCTCCATCAACCGAGTCACCACCACCGAGCCACCACCAAGAGACGGGACAGCGAGCCAGCTCGCTCCTCATCAGACACAGCCAATACCACGTCGACGGCCACCGCGGACGGRGGATCCTCTCCCCAGCCRCCAAGCCAAGGAGAAGCAACAAGCRGGCACATCTCAAACCACGGAAGCAAACGGAACCTCATTCCTCCACATCCAGAGAAGCCCAAGAGGAGAAACGAGAAAAAGCTGGGGCTCAGGCTTCAGCCGCCATCGTCAGCTGGAACACCCCGCTCAAAGGAGGAAGAAGCTATCAAGCCAAGCAGAGGGAAGTACCAGCGAAGCGGATAGCGTATCAGCCCACGTTGGGAGCAAGCAAAATCATCGGCTCCAACAAGATCGCGCTCGCCATCGACTCCGTAGTGAAGTGCCAACGCAACAGAAACTAACCCCTACCCGCAAATCTCCCCAACCCTCATCTCCCCCCTCCCGCTAATCACTATTGAACACCTAGCA